GGATCTATAGACGAAGTAGACCAGCCTATTTTTCCCTGGCAGGTAAACATTCATCATAAACACCTGATAATATTTGGAGGCATTTTCTCTTTTATTTTTTTAAATTATTTCTTCCATAGGTCATTTGCTTTCACCAGAGAGACATATTGAGAGAGAAAGAGAAATCATTCTCCAAGAGGTATGGCCACAGTACAATCCCTTCTGCTCCATTCTCTTCCTGTGATTTGGGCACCAAGCATACACTCATGCCTGGCTTGATTTTCCACATTACAGGTCTGAGATTCAAACCATGGTCAGTCATATGGAAGTGCTCTTTAACCATCAAATTACCTCTGACCCCTGAAGTGTTTTTTTTTTCCTTCAATTTTTTTGTATTGAGCTTTTTCTCTTATGGCAAGTGTGCTTACCAGAAAGGAAAAAGGAAGAAAAGTGAAAATCACGTAGAAAAATGACCATGCTGCATATAGTCCCTTCTCTAGTTTCCTCTCAGGGTTTTGGGCATGCTCACACACGTGCTTGGCATGGGCTTCAAGCCTCCAGATACAGAACTCAAACTGTGGTAGGTCATGTGGAAACTCAGTCACACTAACCAATAAGCCATCTGCCTAAGTATATATTTTTTGTGGTACTGAAAAAGATTATATGTAGAGAATAAATCTTTTTCTCTAAAGGGAGTTCTCCATTAGTTGTACATGATTGATCCACTCTGTGTTTTCTCTGTGAATTGTCCTTGGAAGCTGGCTTCTTCCCATCACCCTCTTTCTCCTCTGTCCCCTCAACTTCACCATGTCTTTCCCTGTCCTTAATTTTATAAATGATGTGAAGAGAAAGTATGGAACATAGTCACAATATAACCTTAACATAACTTAGAATGAACAGAGTTAAGATGGACAAAATATTGGAAGAAATTTTAGAATATTGTAAAGTCAGAATGACCATTTAGGGAGAATCTGAGCAGTTGTGCTCTTTTACTTGCATGGATGACCTTCAGATATCTGCAGTTATTTTTTTGTGCCTATCTTAATCATAACTGAATTCATTTTAATTTTTCTTATACTGTCTTCAAAAATCATGGAAGAAGGAACTGTGATCCAGTTTTAAAACAATGAACCGCTTTTGATGCCTACAGTCTCAGGATATCTTATTTGGTTTACAAATAAATTTATATTTTAAAGAAACACTAAATCATGGAACCAGCAGGTGGCATCATGGTTAAATAATTAATAAAATAAAATAAATAATTTAAAGAATATAAGCAAGTTAATTAATTATGTGTAAATATCTTTATAAAAAAGAGGCAATAAATTAGACAAATTTGGTGAGAAAACATGTAAATATAATATACATACATAAAAATAAAAATCAGAAATTTAGTTTCCATTTGAATTATACTGTACTAACAATAACAATATTGGATTTGCTCTATGAAAAACTTTGAAGTTGACTCTTGGAAAAGCAAGTAGTTTTATTCAAAATTGTTACCTAGATTTGTTAAAGATGAGAGTGCTTCCATTCTAAACATGTAAAAACTGGAGACCAGCAGTTGGCATAATGGCTATGTCACTGGACTCCCATGTAGTTGCCCAGGGTTTGAGTCCTGAACTTCGTGGCTTAAACTCACGCTGGGTGTGTGTGTGTGGATGCCCAAGATCCTGAGAGGAGAATGAAGGAGAAGGGATTGTGGCGTGGCCGTCCTCCCTGGAGAGTGATTTCTTGATCTTTGTCTCTCTCTCTCTCTCTTCATCTTTCTGGCAAATGCACGTGCCCTATAGCAAAAACCTCTCAAAACAAATGTAAAGACTGAAAAAAGAGTTGTATAAGCAATAAAAGTTAATTATCTTCTGTAAAAGAATGTCATAAATTCAAAAATAAAAGTCTAACATGTTTTATTAAAGATCTCCTTAGTGAGGCCTACAAATGGTATGGTGGTTAAATTTTGACTCCCATGTGGCTGACTGGTTTGGGTTCTGGACCTGACAGCCTGCTTTCTCATTTTCTTTCTCTCTCTGTCTCTCTTTCATCAGCACCCATGCCTTATTGCAAATTAAAAATAATGATAATAGATAAAATTAAATAAATAATTTTCCGAACACTAACTCTTTAGTGGGATGGATCTATGATCTATTGAATAAGGCAGCTAAATTCCACATGGCCAAAGTCCAAAACATTGAGGCCTCAAAAGCATGTCAGGCACGTGTGCATGCATGCATTCCCAAAAGCCCAAAAGAAATGAGAAATGAAGGAGAGATTGCAGCTCATTCCCCATAGGGGCACTTGTTTTCTCATCTCTCATATTCTCTCTATGTCTCTCTGTGAGGTTTACTTGTCCACCAGAAATAAAAACCTCTTTAGAATTTAAAAGTTTGGGGACCACAGATGGCATAATGGTTATGTCACTGGACTCTCATATCGTTGACTGTGATTCAAATCTCAGACCTGGAGGCTTAAAACTCATTCCAGTGGTGTCTGCATGCACACCCCAAATTCTAAGAGGAGAATGAGGAGAAGGAATTATGGCATGGCTACCCCTCCTGTGGGCGATTTCTCACTTATTGTCACTCTGTTTTTCTCTCTCTGGAAAGAATACATGCCCTATAGCAAAAATCTCTCGAAATAAAAAAGAATTTAAAAGTTTTAAATTTATATATTTGTTACAAATTATTTCTTTTTATGCCACATGACAATAACATTTTTACCATAAAATGTCCAAAATAAAGATAAAGAACAAAACAGATTTGTTCTTTTTAATAGTTTTATTGAGGTGCAAATAGTATCCAAAAAATTGTATATATTTAATGTCCATTTTGGATAAACTAGAACTGTATACTTGTATACTCCCCCTACCAGTGTCAAGAATCTAAATCTTTTCATACATATAGTGGCTTTTAAAAGTTTTTCATACAAGGGACCAGCAGGTGGCATAGTGGTCACAGTGCTGAACTCCCAACATGGCAAACTGGTTCAAGTCTAGAACCTGGTGGCTTGCTTTCTCAGTTTCCCTCTCTCTCTGGTCAAATTTTAAAAATAGCAATAATAAAAAAAATAATAATTCTTACCTTTTTTCCTACATGTGCATTTGTTAGAAAAAGACACAGAGGGGAAGTGAGAAATCACCACCCATGAGGAATAGTCATAATCTAATACTTTCTCCATCTCTGTTTTTATCTGGAATTTGAGACTCAAACACACATGTGTCCAGTGTTTTGTTTTCCCTTAAAATAATGATTTTATCTTATTCGTTTTTTTATTATTTTAAATTTGATCCAAGAGAGACAGAGAGAAAGGAAAAAGGAAAGTCAAAAAGCAAGCCATCAAGTCCAGAACTTAAATCACAGTCAGCCACGAGATAGTTCAATGCCTTAACCACCACGCCACCTGTTGGCCCCATCCAATGTATTTTGTAGGCTGCAGGCACAGGAACAAAGATGCTGGCTTAGTCATGTGTGATTCAGTTATTTTAATCACACCACTTACTGGCTGGGCCCATGTGTGCCCTTTATAAATGACTGAGTATAGCCTCTAATTAGTCCAAGCCAGATTTTGTTAGTCTGAAATTTATGAAAGTCCAAGTACAAATCACTTTTTGGGAAACATCCTAGAATTTTTCTTATGAGCTACAACCACTCCTCTATTGTTTTTAGAAAGAAAAAAAAAAGAGTATATCTCACGTGACTACAGAACTGGTGACAACTCAATTCATATTGAGCTCCTACAAAAAAGGGTAGAGATGATAAAATAGGATTACTTGATAGATATGGACTGTTGAACCTCTATATTTAATGCAGTTCTAATGTGTAAATCTTGCCTTTAATACAGCTTCATCCATTTCTGAGGAAAAGCCAGTTGACAAACAGTATTGTGTACAACAAGCCCCTGGATGAAAAAAGAAAAATGGTGCAGTATGATATCCACAATCTTATGAGATTTTCTAATGGCAGTTTGCTGTTTGTTGAAGTAGAAGATTTTGTCTACAAGAGCACCCAAGATCAAGGTTTGGTCATCAATGAAAAGATGATAAACTTGCCTGTTAATTTCAAGGAGGTATGATGTCATTTCAATCAATGTTAAAGACATACAGATGAATCTGAACAGAGTCCTGAAATGAAATTGTGTGACTACCCTTTTTTTGGTGTGTATTTATCTTTTGGTGTTTGTTTTCCAATATTTTAATTTTTTCTTTCATTTATATTTACACTTAATCATACACCACTTTACAGTGTAACACGACTTTTCCCAGCATGAGTACAGTGCATGTCACACAAGACAAAGACATTACCATATATATTATCATCAGCAAATAGCTTTTTATTTTTGTGTCAGTTATATGTACTGCTTTTTCCTCTGTTTTCCTCCTCCCCTAGTACCCACCCTCATATTATCCCTATCCTTACTATCTGTAGTATCTATAGCTGCCCTCCCTCATATTATACTTAACATTCTTTCAGTTTCTAGTATAGAGTGCAGACATTCATGTATTTTATTTGGTTTTAATTTCTTTTATACTTTAAATCACTATACTTAGTTTGTAAAATGAATTTATCAACATGAATACATTTCACACCAATCCAGTTGGGGATACTATACACATTATCATCAACAAATAATAATCCATTTCTGTATTCCATAAATGTCTTCCCTTTCCATTTTTCTCCTTAATGTCTTCCTCCACACTCTCCTCTCTCCCACCCTCTTCCCACATGTAGCCAATATCTATAACCATTTTCCATGTTTCTGTATGCTCTAATCTTTCAGTTTTAGCTATAGAGTGTGGACAGTCGGTGGAGACATACAATGTTTCTCCTTCATAGCCTCGCTTGCATTACTCAGCGGTAAACCTTCCATAGTTGTCCATTTTCTATCGAAAATCAACATCTTGTTGTGTTTTTACAGCTGAGTACTATTCCATAGAGTGCATGTGCCACACATTTTCAATCCATTCTTCTGTTTGTGGACATTTGGATTGGTTCCATGTCTTAGCAATTGTGAATAATGCTGAAATAAACATAAATGCGCAAACACCTTTCCAACTAAGCATTCTCTTGTCCTTAGGTAAATACCCGGGAGTGGAATTGCTGGATCATATGGTAGTTTAGATCAATTTTCAAGTATTGCTGCTTCTACTTACTCCCATGTGATATTCGGATCGGTTATTAATTTGTGAAAGGCAGAGTTTAGACATCTGTAAAATGGGGTTGATATTCTCTATTTTGACTAGAATCCAGTGCAAGAAAGGAAAACCACTCTAAGCAGAAGGTGATTTGACACAGGGAATTGAGCCTGGAAGCAGTGGTTTATAGGTGATTTGTTCAGGAGTAACTTCTATGACATGCAGGCCTCAGAGACAATCATGAGAATCATGCTTCTACCCAAGACTCAGACAGCCTGGCCGCTACAGAGGGCTCCACAATCTGGCTGGTCAGGAGGAGCATGAACACCAGAATGAGACCACAGAACACCTCACGTGTTGGTGTTTTTGCCGGGCACCAAAAAGAATAAAATTATACTGAAATGTGTTCTTTGTTTTATATTCCATCAGCAAATACTACACCAGTATATTTAGTTGATGGAACTGATTTTATATACAAGTTAAAAATAGTCGAACATGACTTTTAACTTTTGAACTTCTCCAACTAGGCGGGGGTTGAAATGAACGAGAAAGCAACCAACCCACATTACCTAGCATACTGGTGTCTTCCGTATCAGGAAAGAAATGCAAGGCTAATTAGCACGTGCCTGGATGTAGCAGTATCCCAGGAAATATTCATGAATTGGTACCTACTATAGGGTGAGGGAGCCATTTATGATGCTCCTTCAAGGCAGAATAAAAGTTAAAGTAGTAATTTGCTGTAGATATCAGAACAAAAGTGAGAATAAGTGAGAAGTTTCATTAAGACAGGAACAGATAGGGCCAGCCCCCTACTCTCATGATTAAGGGAGCTGGATCCCACACAGGCAACTGCAGTTCAAATCCCAGCCCAGCAGCTTGAAAAGCATGCCATGCATGTGTGCATATGTGCCCAGACCCATGAGAACATGGAGGAATGGAGAAATGATCACATATGAGCACACCCCACAGGGGGATGCTTTCTCTATGTCTCTTTGTCTTTCCTTGGTCAGCACATGCACTCTCTGGCAATTAAAAGGAAAAATGGAAAGGACAGATGGGCCGGTCAGAGTGACAGTGGTATCACAATGTCACATGGAGTGGAGACTGTGTGTGAGGTCAAGATTCACATTCAGAAGTCTCCCTGTGCACTCCAGGTGTGCGTGTGTGCACACATGATCCTGTTGGCCAAGGCTGAGGTTGGGTCGTAACACGAAGACCCTGTTGGGGGTGCAGCTCTCTCTTTTTATCTTTTATGGAAGAAATAAGTAAATGAACTTAAAAAAATTAATGTTCCTATCAATCAACTTTTTTTAGAGAGATTTATGCCATAGGGCGCATGCACTGGCCAGAGAGACAGAGAAAAAAAGAGAGAAAGTGAGAAATCACCCTCCAGGGAGGATGGCCATGCTGCAGCCCCTTTTCCTCCATGCTCCTCTTGGGATTTTGGGCACACTTCCACACGTCTTTGGTGTGAGATTTACGCCACCAGGTCCAGGACTCAAACTACAGTCGACTGTGTAGGAGTCCAGTGATGTAACCATTGCATCATCTAATGGTCCCTCATATCAACTTTCTTCTTTTAAAAAAATAATATTTGTAATAAAGATTTTATTCTAACATTCATTTAATAACCCATTCATTCATGTTTTCATTCATTTCTAAAAGATAATCGTAGTATGATGAACACTTACTCATTGATACTTTTCATGTGTTATTGTTAGTCTCACTGGATACAATCTTTTTTTAAAGAATTATTTTATTTAACTTTATTTATTTATTCATTTGTTTATTTCAATTTGACTAGAGAGGGACAGAGAGAGAGAGAGAGACAGAGAGAGAGAGAGA